CCCGGCCTTTTTTTTTTTTTTTTTTTAAGACAGTGTTTTGCTCTTGTCGTCCAGGCTGGAGTGCAGTGGCTCGATCTTGGCTCACTGCAACCTCCGCTTCCCAGGCTCAAGCAATTCCCCTGCCTCAGGCTCCCTATTTCGAGCCCTCTGTGAGCCCGTAAGATCTTGTTATTTTTAGCGACAGGGTTTTGCTCTGTCACCCAGGCTAGAGTGCAGTGGTGTGATCACGGCTCACCGCAGCCTCAAACTCTTGGCCTCAAGTGGTCCTCTCGCCTCTGCCTCCCAAAGCACTGGGATTACAGGCATGAGCCATGGTGCCTAGCCAGCCTGTAAGATTTTTAATGGAAGGAACTGTGTTTTATTCATCATTATTTCCCCAAAGCAGAGAACAGAATGAGCACATAATTTGGAACATCATACTTATTCACTGAATGAATTCCATCATTCAGTACTTCAGGCTAATCTTCAAAAAATTCTTTCGTAGACTAGACCACAATAAAGTTCCCACTTAACCTACCCAATGATCTATGACCCTCTGAATCTAACCAGATTTTTTTTTAAACCTCAAAATAGACCCAGAGTCTAAGATGGGTGTCTACTTAAAGATAGGACTCTACTCAAGTCAGTTTTATGGTTTTGGCAATTGTGATCTCATTGCCAAAAATCTCTGGACATGGCTAAATCAATCTATTTGATAAGTATCCATATCCGACACCAAAAAACAGACAGGGCAAGAACCAACCAACAAAACAAATCTATGGAAGCCAAGAGGGTCCAGAACCAAAAGGGGATTCTCATACCAAGGGACTGATGAGAGAGAACACTAGAAAGCTTACAAAATGAGGGGAGAATCGCCTGTCAAACTCCCGCTGAGCCAGGATTCCTCCCTGTCCAGGTGCACTGGTAGAGCCAATCTGAAAAGAAGAAAATAACGATATTAAGGCAAGTCTCCACCTCATCTAATCTGAGAAAGGGCGGTCCCAACCAACCCAACTCTGTGCATTAGAGTCTTAGTTCCCAAAGGCTCAGGAGCACTTCAAGAAGATGAGGGAAAGCTTTTGGCTAGACAAGAGTTGGATGATTCTCTTTTAGTGTGTTGTAAAGAGGAGTACCTAGGAGCCAGAAGACCTGAGAAATATCCCATGATGAACGTACATTAAACAGGGTAGGCCATGCATGCAACTGAAATTAAAGCCAAATTCTTCTGTCTGAACCTCAGACTCTGGAAAGAGTGAAGTTGCTCACCACTACTGGCCCCTCTACAGTGCAGGGTGTGCAATGGAATGACTTACCCTTGGTAATCATTTACTTATTCCTCCAGCAAAAATCCGCAACTTCACAGGGTTAATGTGAGGCTCAAATGAAATAGCAAAAGTATATAATGAAGTATAAAGCCCTACCCAAATGTACATTATTAGAGGAGGGGTTGAGTCTGGCCCACATTCCTTTGTCTTGGAGAGGAGGCCAAGAGTTTGGAGCATACTTTTATTCCAAAGTGGCAGCTGAGCCTCTGATTTTATGTCTATTAACCCATCAACTACTAGGTAGAACCAAAGAGTCCTGAAGTTGGTTCTGAAAGCAGAAATGATACCGGATGTGAAAACACAGCTGGGTTTAGAAGAATATGGTTCCATGTAGTTTATGAAAAACGAAAATGCAGAAGATGCACTGAGTGTTAGTTCTTTTCATTCCATGGTTGACCGTGTTAAGTCCCTTCCCTACTGTGTACTAATTAGCCTACAGCCCTACTTGTATGGAGGATCATACATTTTAGCTTCATAAATTTATGCATTTATTTGGCTTTATACATTTATTACTTAAGCTTTTTGAGGACTTGGACAGTATCTTAATCCTCTACGTATTCCCAGAGTCTGGCACATTTCAGGAACTTCATAAATGTCTGTTGACCTTTACATCAATCAAAAGATTGTTTACTACTGAGTTTATATTGTATATGAGAAACAGAGAAATCTAAGACGGTCACTGGCCTCAGGGAGTTTATAATTAAATTGGGAGGTGGGGGTGGGGAGAGGGAGCATCTATAAATAAGAAACTACTGAAGACAGTGATTAAATGTTCACGTGGCATAGACTATAAGTGCTACAGAAGTTTAGATGCAGTCAACATGTTTATGAAAGAATGAATAGTGGCCGGGCACTGTGGCTCACGCCTGTAATTCCAGTACTCTGGGAGGCCAAGGCGGGCGATCACAGGTCAGGAGTTTGAGACCAGCCTGGCAAATATGGTGAAACCCCATTTCTACTAAAAATATAAAAAAGCAGCTGGGCGCGGTGGCGCACACCTGTTGTCCCAGTTACTCGGGAGGCTGAGGCAAGAGAATCGCTTGAACCCGGGAAGCGGAGGTTGCAGTGAGCCAAGATTACACTACTGCACTCCAGCCTGGGTGACAGAGTGAGGCTCTGTCTCAAAAAAAAAAAGAAAAAGAAAAAGAAAAGAATGAATAGCAAAGAGCAATATGAACTGAGGACAGAAAACAAGGAGACATAGCTCAAAGCTGGGTCT